CTATTCCCTTAAGGGGATAGGTTCCTTCTGCTTAAAAGAATATTGCTGGCTCTGCGAGCTAATGATTTGTTTGGAGGGGTTGGAAGTCTCCAAGGGAAGGATGAAGGCACAGTTTTTATACAGCATCTTCCTGATCTTTGATCTGCCCTTTACTGAGTACACGGGAGCTCTTGGCAGCAAGTTTGACGATGCCTCTCCATAGGAGAGACGAGCTCCAAAGATCTGAGAACTCATCCGTTTGGCAAATAATATTTTCATGGCTCATTGCTTTGACAGTATCATATAAGGCCAGTGCTAACTGTCATAGCTTTCTCTCTCTCACATAATAATTGGATGATAATCAAGATATAATATTGACTCACAGGTATGGACATCTTTTCCCAAGGGAAGATAATAATTTTTGCTTAATTGGTGGTTAATGAAAATAATTTTTCAACCTAAACACGGGTGTACATGTATATAGTGGCTTTTTTTGTTTGTTTGTTTGTTTATTTTTTTGTTTGGGCAGAACCAAGGACGCACTCACATGAAAAGAATGAGCATTTTTCATGACACACAACTTTGTTGTCTAATTTAAATCTATAAAAAGAACTATATCAGAGCAGGCTATTTCTTCACTTGTAAAATGTTATAGCCCATCTGGGTGCAGTTCTGTTTTAGGTAGATAATATGAACCTACCACTTAGGTGGCTTTGTTTTGGTGGTAGTTTTGTTGTTTTTGTTTCTGATTGCAGATCTGGCCTCCCTTGTCTGAGAGTCAGATCTAGTGAAACAAAATGTTTCCAATGTATCCTTTGGTGTGGGAAGTCTCAGCACACCAGCACCATCTTTTAGGAGACTGTTAAATGACCCATGCAGGGAAGGAGATGGAAACTTATAAGAGTAAAGTGGAAGGCTTGAGATAGAAGGCACAGTAAGAATGAGGAAGAGACAAGTCGCTATGGACAGATGGAGTAACAACAAACTCATTCACAATGTGGAGGGACAGGGTGGGGTGAGGTGGAAACAGAAGAATCTTTTTGCTAAATGAAATACATAGACAGTGCCTTTCCTCTGCTAGACCTTCTACAGATCCCACATAGACTGACAAGAATTCCAATTCTTTTCCTTCGCTTGTTTCCCTAAGACAGGGCAGAGGTGGTGGAGCCAAGATGGTAGAATAAAGGCAGGGAATAGCTTGAGATCTTCCAAATTACCTTCCAAACAATATTAAAATAGCACCTCAAAACAAATTCTGGAGCAGCAGAACCAACAAAAGGATGGGGTGAAATAATTATTCAGCCCAAGACAATTTAGAGGGTCAACAAGAAAGATATGTCTCACTGGGGTGAGAGCGGAGCACATTTCCACCCAGGTTACCTTGGCAAGCCAGAATCAAGGCCCTGAGCCTTGGAACAAGCTAGCATTGAGGTCCTAAGCCCAGCTAAAAACCAGCTGTAAGACCATGAGCCCCAGTGCAAGCCAGCCATGAGGCCTCAGGCCCCTGCACCAGCCAGCCAGTAGCAGGTCATGGCTAGTGCAAACCAGCAGGAGGCTTTGGGGGTGACTGAGTCAGCAGTAGTGGCTGTTTTTGCACAAGCAAAACCAAATGCAGCCAAGATTAGAAGGGAAGTAGAAGGCTGGGGGAAAAATTTGCATTAAGTTTCTCTGATAATGGCCTTATTTTTGAAATATATAGAAAACTAAGTCAAATTTATAAGAATACAAGTCATTCCACAATTGATAAACAGTCAAAGGATATGAACAGGTAGCTCTTTTTGTGGTGTCCAAGAACTGGAAATTGAGAGAATGCCCATCAATTGGGGAATGGCTGAATAAATTGTGGTATATGATTGTGATGGAATACTTGTGCTATAAGAAATGATGAGCAGGATGATTTCAGAAAAACCTGGAAAGACTTATACAAATTGCTTCCAAGTGAAGCGAGCAGAACCAGGAGAACATTGTACATAGTAGCAGCAATATTGTATGATGATCAACTGTGAATAACAGCCATTCTCAGCAACACAACAGTTCAAGACAGTTCCAAAGAACTCATGATGAAAAATGTTATTCACATCTAGGGAAGGAACTGATGGAGTCTAATTACAAAGTGAAGCATACTTTTTTTTTCCTTTATTTGTGTGTGTGTGTGTGTGTGTGTGTGTGTGTGTGTGTGTGTGTGTGGTTTTGTGGTTTGTTTTTTTTTTTTTGGTCTGTGTTTTTCTTTTATGACATGACTAATACAGAAATATATTTTGCATGATGGTACATATAAAATTGCTTGCTGTCTCAGGGAGGTAGAAGGGAAAGGAGGGAGAGAATTTGAAACTCAAAATTTTTACAAAATGAATGTTAAATATTGTTTTTACATGTAATTTAAAAAAATAAAATATCATCCAAAGAAAAAAAGAAATTAAAAAAAAAAGCATTGACAACAGAAGGGAGCAGGCAAAACCAAAGATATAGAAGAGCCACAAATTAGATAGCCAATCCCCACATCTCTGAGAATTCGATCTTAATGATCTAAGTAAAATATTCTGCTAAAAACGATTAATAATTATAACATTGTCTCTGGATACTTGGACGTGCCAAATTCAACCAAACCATTTGTTTTAGCTAATTATATTTTTAAAAATATGCTTTTTTTTTGTTTTTACATTACAGATATTCCCAGATACCCCCTCTCCCAGTCCACCCACCCGATGATCCTTCACTTATGACAAAGAAAAAAATAAGTATCACAGTGATTGTGATCTGAAGGCATACTCAATATTCTATACCTAAAGTCTCCCACCTCTTTGGTGAAAGAAGGGAGGTGCACCTTGTCTTTTTTTCTGAGGCCTAGATGGCTATCACAATTACTTAGCATTTACAAATCATCTATTACTAAACTTTTTTGTTCATCTTGTTTCACCTTTCATGTGTGTGGAATGAGCTGTTTTTCCTGTTTTTACACAAAAGATGACCAGAAGACCCTTTTAGTGATGAATTAAGTGATATTCTATTGGCTTGCAAGAGAGTTAATAAAGCTTTCTAATTTTTAATAAATTACATAGGGAAACTCTAAGCTTAAAAAAAGTTTAACACAGATCATCCCTATAAGCTACATAAAAATGTAGGTATACATTTGTTCAGGGCAGCTAGGTGGTGCAGTAGATAGAGCACTGGGCTTAGAATCCGGAAGACTCATCTACGTGAGTGCAAATCTGGGCTCAGATACTTATTTAGTTGTGACCCTGGGCAAGTCACTTAACTCTGCTTCAATTTCTCATCTGTAAAAATGAGCTGGAGAAGGAAATGACAAACCACTCCACAATATTTACCAAGGAAACCTCAAATAGGGTCAGAAAGAGTTGGACATGATACATTTACATGGTGTGTATATGAACATTTGCATTTGCCTAAGGATAAATTAGATGATAATTCATTAAGTTTGAAAAAGATTCACAGGATCCTATATTTAGAACTGGAGAGGATCTTAGAGGTCCAATACCCTTCATTTTACAGATAAGGAAACTGAGGACCAGAGAAGTTCAGAAATTTAACCAAACTCACCTAGATACAATAGGAAATGGAGAAGCCAGGATGTGAACCCAGATCTACTAACCCCACATTTATCACTCCACTGAATCACTCACTGTGATTCCATTCAAGTTCCCCTAACATATGTTAAAAGTTTTGCTACATACAAATTTGATTTGAACCCAACTTTCCAGGAACACAATTTTTATGTAAAGGGATGCTCATATTTGTTATTGTATTATAGAACATGAGAGGTGGAAGGGACCTCTGAGACTTTCTAGTGCCACTTGTAACTGACCCAAGAACTACCAACAAATAATTATGCAGGCTTTTCTGGATGATCCCAAGTAACAAGTAAACTGCTACTCCACTCCACTCTTGGCTAGCTCTAATTGTTAAACATTTTCTTTATATTGAAATTAAACCTTCCTCTCTGCAAGTTCCACTCAGAATTTTTAGTTTTCCTCTATGAGGTCAAGAAGAACAAGTCTAATCCCACTGCCTACGTGTGACATCCCTTCAAACACAGCTATTTTGTCACCCGTAAGTTTTCTCTCCTGCAGGCTAATTATCCCTAACTCTTTTAACCAATCTTGTGAGGCATGGTCTCCATTATCTTTCTTAGCATGCTTTTCATCCCTTCTCAGGACCCTTACCAGCTTGTTCTCTCTAACATGACAGATAGAACTAGACATAATTATCTATTTTTATATTCTGGACACAATCATGCTCTTAATGTAACCAGAAATTGCACTAGCTGCTTTTAAAAGTTATTGTCTTGCATTGCTGATTCATTGAGGATGCTTTCCACTAAACTCCCCAGATCCTCATCACACAAACTCTTATGTGGTCCCATCTCAGGTGTAATTTTTCACTTTGCATCAAAGTTCTCAACTCCTGTTTCTTTGAGGCTAAAATCAGAAAGGACAAATGGGGTACAAAATCTCTTTGGAGAGAGGACATAGTTTGGGAAGAGGATTGTGGATACTTATTCAAAACTACAGAGTACTAAAGGAAAGTGGATAGAAAAAAATGAACATTAAAAGTAGTACATATTCATTACTAGCTTGGTTTATCATTGTCCTTTTTTTGTCAGTAAGAACAGGTTTTAAATGCATATTGTTTTATGGCTCAGTGTGTCAATGTGGTTTGTCCTTTGTTCTCAAAGAGGACCATGACATCAGGAAGATGATGACATGACTTGCAATTGAATTGGATTTGAGTGAGGCAGGTCTGTGCTCAATCCATGTGGGCAAATACTTTGTATATCTATAAAAGTAGTGTGGGGAATGAAGTTACCTTTTTAAATAGATCATAACTCCATTTTTCGTTGTGAAATTCCTTTAAAATCAATCAGAATATTATGCACCAAAGCGTATCTAACTTCCCTGTATAGCACAAGCTCAATTCAGGAGAGATTACAACTAAGCAAACATTTTAACCAAACATGCCATCAGCGCTTTGGAAATGAACATATTTCTTGATCTCACTCTTACCAACGATGGGTTCTGGGAAAATGTTGTTTCGGTTCTCCTTCCACGTCAGAAGGTGAGTGAGGCTATTGAAGTCAGCAGATTCTATGTAACTGTTGACTGCTATCATCATCTGGTGAGCCTTGGCAATTCCATAGTGGACTTTGGTCTCATCCACAGTGGGATATCCATGAACTCAGTGGTTGTATCAAAAGCTTGCTTAAAGAACTCGCAGGCTTTTGTATAGAATCCCTGAAAGCAAAAGAGAAAGGATTTCCTTTTATTAATTTCCTTTTTTTACCATTTCACATTTCTCCCTCCCAGTGCATACAGCCTAATATTGATTGTGTTTCAATCATGGTGTCTATCAACTCTTCAGGATTATGTTTTAGTACACTGCCCATTAGAATATGATTCTTCCTATGAAAAAAAAAAGTCATGATTGCTGCACGTGCTACATACTATGTCTACATAGTGGTAATTTTAAAAATGGGGGAAGGGAAAGACCCATCTACCTGGATGTGGTTGGAATTTTTTTTTTCAGGATAGAATTGGATGACTGTCACATGGAATATTTTGAACAGCTGCTATTTTCTGTCAAAGCAAAAGTACATTTTCAACCAAACTGGTTAATTGGTGCCAACAAAAAATAACTGGAATTCCCTGATGGCAGAGGCCTCTGCCCTTACTTTCTTAAATTACTAAGGTTCGGTTAACAGCTGGAGTAAGTCATGGATGACTGACAGCTGTCAGTTACCAACAAATTGCACCTCATTATGTAGTGATCTCTCAAATAGTGGCAATGATAAAAACAAAAATGTTGCCTTGAAAATCTCCCTTCCCCCAAATTTTCACTGGCTCCAGCCTACTCTAAAGGCAGGTAGTGGATAGAGTATAGGACTTGGAGTCAGAAGATCTGAGTTCAAATTCTGCCTCAGACTCTTATAAGTTGTGTGACTCTTCATCTGTAAAAATGGAGATAATAGTAACACTGATCTCCCAGGGTTGTTGTGAGGATCAAATAAGGTAATACGTGTAAAGCATTTGGCAATTCTTAAAGTGCTGTAGTAAAGCTAGCTATGACGATGCTGATAATGATGAATTTCCACTTCAGCCGCCTCCTTCCATTCTACTTCTCCCCATCATGTAAAAGCCCTGAAATCTTTACTTTTATCCAATTTTTGCAAAGACCCTCTGAAATCACCCACCTTTACCTATTCACTCAAAACTTTCATTGGTCACCAACTGTTAAAGACTCTTGCCTGTCCCCCAAACCCCTCTTTGAATATTCTCCATCTCAAAGCACTTTCACTAACATAATAGTACGTTAGGGAGTAATCTGTCAAGGACAGACACCTTGGAGTAAAGGTTTGTGCTGCCAATCTCAGCTTCCTCCCTTTGCAGTAAGCCTCCTGCCCCACCCCACTACTCCCCTCTACCATGAGACAGATGATGGATTTTATGCCAAGGGTTTCAGGCTGCTTCTCCAAACTATTCTATGATGGACCAGGATGGGGGAAAATTACTTGAAATACAGAGCTTTATTGAGTTTCTGAATCAGAATGTACTTGAAGACTTCAAGATCTCCCCTCCTTATTTGAAGAATGAGGAAACCAAGCCCCTCCAAGTCAAAGTGAGCTGCTGAAAGTTACCCAGCTGACATGACTCTTTTAACATTCCATCCAGCATTTTTTCTACTCTGCCACACTATCTACTAAGAGTGAAATGTGCTTGTGAAAATGCGTGGACAGATATTCAATTCTGCAGCAAGTACAGAGAACCACCAAACTCACAGAATGAAGGATTTACTGGCGAGAGAGATGAGGGGAATTGGGACTGATTTGACATCTAAAAGCCACAGTCATTATATAAATGAACCAGGTCTATACCAGGAGAGTGCACATGTTTCTCCCCATTCTTTTGGTGGTTCTGCCACTCCAGACTTTGTTTTGAGGCATTATTTTCAAGTTGTTTGGAGGGGAATTTGTGATCGTTCAGGTGAGTCCCTGCCTTTACTCCGCCATCTTGGCTCCATCCCATTCATGTTATATTTCTCAGTTAGCAGGCAACTAACATTTATAAAGTGTTCACCATGCGCCAGGCCATGTGCAAAGGCTGAGGATACAAATACAAGCAAGAAAAAGAAAAGTAAACTCTACCTTTAAGGAACTTGCATTCTAATGGAAGACTTGATATAATCAGTGCAAAAATTTAACCCTATCTTTGATGTCACTGCTCAACTGTAATTCTTATACCCACAAAAATTTTATCCCCAAACATTCAGATTTCAGGATTTTGTTCCGCCAACCTTCAGTGACAACTTTAGAATAAACTAGTCACTTGACAGATGTTATGAACTCAAATGAAAGAGCAATATTTTAATGTTGGATTAATACTCACTGCTATTCGTCTTGGAATCCTGAATATAATAACAAGACACAACTTTGGTGAGATCATAGACCTCCAAACAGAACTTGGATGGTCACAATTAGGAAGTAGAATTTCTATGAATTACTCTGATTCATAGAATTTTAAGTTTTCATATGAAACTTATTGGCTTTACAAATGTTACTGGAATCCTTGTGCTAATTTATAATAAAGTGTTATCTTATCTTTGCTGCTTGCCCTTCAAAGCTTGATGGATTAAGAGGTCCTGTTCATTTCTCCATTTCTCTCTCTCTTTCTCAACTGTTACTATTAATCAGTCTTCCGAGTACATAGCTATTGTAATATTTTCTGATCTCATGAAAGCAGAAAATAAGAACTCTTATAAAATGATAGAATCAATAAATACACTAATTAGTATTTTAGTTTAGCTCCATTTTACAACTGAGATCCAAAGCCTCTTGAAGGCCACACAGCTAATTAGCGGCAGAGATGGGCCATGAATTGTCGTGGCTTTTATTTGCTATTATTTCTACTGAGGTATGCTACTTCTCAAGTAGAACACAAACCTCTCTCTGTCTCTGTCTCTGTCTCTCTGTCTTCCCTCTCTTCTCTCTCTCTCTGTCTCTCCCTGTCTTCCCTCTCTTCTCTCTTTCTCTCTCTTTCTGTCTCTCTCTCTTTCTCCCCCCTCTCTAACTCTCTCTCTATCTCTTTCTCTCCTCCCCCTCTGTCTATCTCTCTCTGTCTCTACCTCTCTTCTCTCTCTCTCTCTCTCTCTCTGACTCTCTACCACTCTCTCAAAGAATATACACAATTATCCACTTTCTTTAATTGGATAACTTTAACTATAGCAAATCAGCATTGATATTTTTCATCCTAGATTCTATATGGAACAATCGAAAAGGAAAGAGATCATTTTATGGTTAGGATTGGGAGTGGTCTGGAGGGATATCTGAACCTGATTTATCATTACCAGGAATGAGCATGCCATTGGAGTCAATGAGAGTTTGGTCTAATGAGGACAGTAGTTGGTAATAATTGGGCGATGAATGGTTGGGGGACAGCCTTGTGGAGAGCGTTGAAGGGCGAGCAGCAAAGATTTTATGTTAGAAATGCTGTAATTGTTTCTGAGGAGAGACAAGGCTTTCAGAAGCCTACTATTTAAAAAAGAACAACACAACTCCACTTAGAATAAGTTTGAAATATTCTGAGGGCAACAGACTATTATCTACAGCAGATTAAATTGAAGTCAGGTATAAATTTAGCAGTGAACACTATTTAAATAAGATTAGTATTTACAGGTCTTTAGGATCATCTATTTCTGTGGGTTATAAACTTATTAGACAGAATGAACTATCTATCTGTCTATCTATCTATCTATCTATCTATCTATCTATCTATCTATCCATCCATCCATCCATCCATCCATCCATCCATCCATCCATCCATCCATCCATCCATCATCTATCTATCTATCTATCTATCTATCTATCTATCTATCTATCTATCTATCATCCATCCATCCATCCATCCATCCATCCATCCATCCATCTATCTATCCATCTATCTATCTATCTATCTATCTATCTATCTATCTATCTATCTATCATTTATTCTCCTGCTTGCTTGTTCGTTACATACCCTAGGTTTCTTTTATTTAGTGAGACACACAAGGATGTACATGTTTTATGGCTAATTAGGTTTAGTGATGGTGATTTGGCTGACCTTTATCTGTTTCCTCTCCTAGATGTGCCAGTTCAGTCTGACAGGTCTGTATGGTTGCATGCCAGTGGGTGGGGGCAGAGGGGCCAGAGGACCAAACCATGAACAAGAGAAATAGAAGTTGTAACTGTCTACCATTGTTACTTTTTACTCCTTTCTCAGAGTACTGTCTAGAATCCTTGTTTCATGACTGCCACTTAGTATAGAAATAACTTTTTAAAAAATGTAGACTATTTAAAGGGTGGAGTTCTTATTCCTCCTTTGGTCCTAATGAATGTGTCAGTAAAAGCAGAGTCGACATTTAATTTTACTAGAATTTAGGAATAAGTCTAAAGTTATATTTATCCAAGGACAGAATATGCTTTTTAGAATATTTTATTATGGAAGGAATACACACTAACTTTATTCAGTCTGGAAGAATTCAGTTATATACCATACATAATACATTTGGTTTGAGGCAGAATGATTGAATCAGGCTTTGGGTTAAAGTTAGAAACTATCTTGCGGCTATGGTTTATAAATACTCCTGTATTAGTTTTTAGATAAACAAACCTGCATGATAGGAGTGTATGTTTGAAAGGAAAATGTCTAGAGAACTGATAGCATATGGATAAATAGTCAAATGCACAGTGTTTCCCATCCACGTACAAACCAGGACTCTCAGTGACACACAAGATTGAATTTGTCAACTGATAACAGCCTTTCTGCTATTTTTGGACAATATGAAGAAGTTAAACAAACAAGGATAAATTTCTCTTCTGTCAAATATCCAAGGAACCATAAATCTCAGGTTGGAGTAAGTTTTTTTTCATGGCACTATATCATTATGATAACCCTAAGGCAACCTAAAATCCAAAAGCACCTTCTGAATTGCCAAAGACAAAATGTATTTAGTACCACTGTGGTACCAAGCACATTTTATGGTGTTTTCAGTTTTGTTTTGTTTTGTTTTTTAACACTGGTGATTTGATTGAAGCAAAAAACTCATAGTTTTGCCCTTTGGGTCCAAGTACAACACGTCTACATCCTCTTCCTTATGATATCTTTTCAGATCCTTGATGGCTGCTTATAATCCCTCTAAGTCTTTTCTTGTCTAGGTTAAATACCCCCCAGTTCCTTCAACTGATTCTTGTATAGCAAGATTT